TAAATCACTTATTATAAATAACTTATTCTTAGTTATAAATGCGTGCCTTAACTTGGCTTGTTTCTTACCAGCTCTTGTTAACTTAAATTATCCTATCTATCTCTGGCCTTGGGGCTTTTATCGTTCTCTATTCCTTCTTACTTTGTGTCACGCTGTGTAGCTGGGTGGCTGGGTGGCTGACCCCTGAAGTCCTCCTCCTTCTCTCTCATTCCCAGATCTCCGTTTCTTCCAGATTTCTTGTCATATTTATCCCCTCTGCCTGCCAGCCCTGCCTATTTCTCTCTCCTGCCTTACTATTGGCTGTTCAGCTCTTTATTAGACCACCAGGCATTTTAGACAGGCACAGCAACACAGCTTTACAGAGTTAAACAAACGCAACACAAACAAAAGCAACACAGCTTAAGATGATATTCCCCAACAACATCCAGTTTGGTGAACTTGGGGCATCCTAACAGGAGTACGGCTGAGGGGTTAATTGCAGGATCAGGGATGACTCACAGGCAGGGAAAGCCCACCCCTGCAGGGATGACAATTCATGGAATCTGCACCCTTAGAAGCTCTACACAACTTATAGGTAGGAAAGTCTCGCCCCTCTGCAGCTGGCTGGTGAGTCTCCTTCCCAGAAGCTGTTTACTGCATCTATAACCCTGGGGAGGCCCTCGTGAATCTTGAGTTTCAGCTTTCCCAGTCATGCAGCTTGTTTACTTCCAGAACCTCTGGACCCTCCCCCTGTCCTTCCTGTAGGGCATAGTTCAAGTCCCAGGACATGGAGTAAATGAGGCCGGCTGGCATCACTCCAGAGCCCAAGTGCCACTGTTAAGGAGAGCAATGCCATGTCGGGCATTAAGGTTTAGAATTCACTGGAGGCCTGGCAGTTTGTTACTTTTGATTCCAGGCTATAGAGTATCAAGTTGATGCACTCACCACTTGGGTGTGCCCTCGAAGAGACCCTCTAAGTGGCCATAAGCCCTTCTGATAACAACTACAGACTAGGTGTACAGTTTGAAGACACTCCCTCACTGAACGTAGGATGCCAGAAGAGAGATGAGATATATTTGTGGGTGGGGCCACACCCTGGGACAACTGTTTCCCAATGACCTTTCTCCCAATTACTAAGAACTAGGGGGAACAAACAATTCTGCTCTCTGGAAGATGGTCAGTTAGTTTGCTCTAAAACTGCCCTTGGGGTAATTTTGCTCCTGTCACAATGAAAAGTGTAACTTCGAAGAACAATCAGTACCTTTTGAAGCTGGTGGCTTTCTGGAAATGCTGGTGTACAAACCTCTCCATGTAAGCAGACATGTACTAACTCCACCCAGGGCATCAGATCCGGGTTTTCCCAACCACTAAACCTTCAGTGGTTCACAGTCTCCCCCTGGTGGCCATGTGCCACACTGCCTCCATTTCTGATTTATTTGAGATCTAGTGTGTGTGTTAAACACTCTTACTTCCCTAGAAGGGTTGGACTGCCCCCTCTCTTGGAGCCCTGAAGTGAGTAGGTGACCCTCTGCATATCTGTCCCCTGGGAGCTCCAAGGTATCTATTACACCACCCTGTTCTCAGCAGCTTGGGGGCACTGCCTTCCCCAAATCTTTAGTGGACTTGATAGCGTGGGGTGTGTAGGGTGGGGTGGAGCACCTTAACAATTAGCATTTTTCACATCAGGAAATATTGGAGCAAGTGACTGTCTGTGCAGTAGCAGGACTTCTGAGCATGTGGGGAGATCCACCAGTGCCATGCCAATCGCCAGGTGTCTCCCTCCGGCCCAGTTTTCGTACTGCTTTGCATAAGGCGGGGTGAAGCAAGCCTTACCCACCTAGTCTCCAGGCAGGAACCCACTCTGCAGTAGGTCAGTCTTCCTGTCACACATGGGGACATTGTGCCTAAAGGATGCCTTCTAGGAAACCAGCTTGAGGCTACTGAGGAGCCCAGCGGGCTGAGAGTTGCAAATTGCCTCTCTGTCCATGTCCACTTATCCAGCTTTCCCAGTCCTGCTAAGGGTGTCCTGACTTTATGGCTAAGAAAACTGAACAAACTGCTTGTCTGAAACATTTTCTTTTGGGTATGTGGTTTATATTCTGAAAAAAATACATGCAAAAGAGGACATCAAAGAGGTTAAAATCACACACACACACACACACAAACACAAACACACACTCGCACACATACACACACACACACACACACACACACACACACACACACACAGTTTGGCAGTACACCGAGCAAACTCAGATGCAGCCCCAGCTTTGTCCTTCTGTCCTGGACCTTTCCATCCTAAGCGTGGCCAGCTGGCTCCAGGCCAGTACAAGGGAACTGGTGCCAGGCCTTGAGTCCTGACTCTTCTGCTCTCTGAGAACACACCTGCCTCTCTGAGAAAGGAAATCCTCCCATCACAGACTCCCCATCTTCACCCTCTTGTTTGGTAAATGGCCGCAGGAGCTGGCATTCTCTGGGCTGTGAGGACCTAGTGCTGGCCTGGATTTCCAGTGCCTTATGACATCCGGGCTTAGCTAGAACAAGGTGGTTGGACAACTCCCTGCTGGGAGCCCCTTCCTGTAATGGGGGCTCAGGTGAAGATGGTGGGTTCACCAAAGGACAAGGAGGGATCAGGCCACCAAATCCAGGCATGTGGCAGCCTTTAGACTGTGTGCTGTGGATTCGGTTTTGGGCATGATGTCTCTGTTACTACAATGAGATCTGGGCACTGCAGCCTAGTCAGCAGGTTCCCCAAGTGCCCAGGTGACAGTCCCTAGCAAACACAGTGGGACATCTGCTGAGACCTCATGCACTCGGTTGGGCCTCAGGAAGTATGTGCCCCAAGGTGGAGGACGGAAGCCAGGCCCTCCCTTACCTGGGAGCCTTTTGGATGGTGGCTCTCAATCTGTGGGTTGCAACCCTTTTGGAGGTCGAACAACCCTTTCACAGAGGTCGCCTAAAACCATCAGAAAACACAGACAGCAAAATTACAGTAGGAACAAAAATAATTTTATGGTTGGGGGTCACCACAACGTGAGGAACTGTGTTAAAGGGTAACAGCATTAGAACGGTTGAGAACCACTGCTTTAGGGAGCTGAGACTGCCACCCACTCCCCCCCGACCCCGCCCAGCCCTTGACCCTTGGTTTCACGTGAGACTGTGGCAGCCACCCAGAGTATAGCACACATTTCCTCACTAGCACAATCCAGGAGGTGGTCACTCCTCTCACAGCCATTTTAACCTAAGCCCAAGGAACAGAGAGACTAAGTCACTCCTTCAAGGTCACCAGCCAGCCAGTCACAAGCAGATGGTTCCAGTCAGGTTGCACTGTGGGAGCCAAACTGTCATCACTCTTCAGTCAATGGGTCTCACGAGGAATTGCCCAGTCCCTGCAGACCCGTAAGCAGGTGTCTTCAGGAGAGGGAGGCTGGGCTGGGGGGGGGGGGGGGGGGG